GCCCGGCTAATTTTTTGTATTTTTAGTAGAGACGGGGTTTCACCATGTTAGCCAGGATGGTCTCGATCTCCTAACCTCGTGATCCGCCCGCCTCAGCCTCCCAAAGTGTTGGGATTACAGGCGTGAGCTACCACGCCCGGCCTCAACCGGTATCTTTTAAGCATCTGCTGTGTGCCAGAGATTGCCCTGGGCACAGAACATTCTAGAACTCGGTGACAGAAGAGCCACTTGCTTGGCCTGGGAGCATCACAGGAAGACTTCGCAGAGGCAGAGAGGAGGGTGTGGGGGTGTTGGCAGAAGAAAGTGTTTCTCTAGAAACACTGCAACACGCAAAGGCTGGAGCTGCAGGACCTGTCTGGGATGACAAGGGCAGGAGGTGGGGTGTAGCTGACCTCTGTGGTACCTGCCCTGTGTGCAGACACTGCCAGAGGGCCTGTCTGCATGCCAGGGGGCCGAGTTCCATATTGTAGGGGGTGTGGTGGGGTGGCACCAAGGGGCACAGGCAGGTTAGATGTACTTTTTAGGAGGAAGGGGTCAGAGACCAAGGGCAATGGCGGTAAGCATGGGGCTGAGGTCACCTGACGGTGGTGGCCTGACCCCTGTGGTGGAGGAGAGGCAGGAATGGAGCTGCAAGAGTGGGTCCAGGAGGTGTCCTCACCTGTGGGGAGGCCGAGAGCTCATTGTAGGCGCAGGGCACACCTGACTGGCAGGACACAGCCATGCCACAGAAGGAGATAGAGTCCCAGTGGTGATTTGGTGGAGCTGGGGCTGGCTGGGGCATGGGGACGGGCGGGTTTGTTGTGTGCATTTTTTTACTGCACATAAAAGGCTTTACTGGGGAAGAATAGATTTCCTCTCTCTTTCCTGGAAGAGCCAAATGACTTAGACTGTGAAATAGAAATGGTAGTCGAGCGCCCGTTCATGCAAGTGTTAAGGTCTTCCCGGGTTACAAGTGCGCATACCCCAGGGGGAGTCGCTTTGTTTGAAGCGCCTGAGCGAGGCTGTTCGCTTTGTCCGTTCTGGCTTTCGTTGCTTCTTAAATGAGGCTCCTTCTGTTGCAGAGGTGACCACAGTGACAGTGGCCAACGTGGGGGCTGCTGCAGACAATGTCTTCACCACGTCTGTGGCCAACGCGGCGTCCATCTCAGGACATGTTCTGGTAAGCTGTTCTGAGGGGCATAGCCCAGTGCGAGTGGTGCCACGCTGGGGGCCTTGGGCTTCCCTGAGGCTCTCCCGGGGTTCAGCCCATCGTGCAAGTCTGCTCTGTGAGCTGGGGAGGGAGGCACTGGCTGGCTCTGCTCTCAGAAGCCTTCAGGCTGTGCTGGGGTGGGAGAACTTAGAGCTGAGGCAGAAGCTGCCTCACAAGGCCGGGTGAAGCTGCCTCACACCTCATCAGATGGGCTGGTGGCCTGCATCGGGCGGGGACTCCCAGCTCCTGACCCAGCCCAGGCTGCTGTCCGCCCACAGTTCAGCCTCTGCCCGAGGCCCAGCGCTGCCTGTGCTCCTTACTCCTGTAGCTGCAGGGCCAGCTGAAGGAAGCAGGGCGTTTCCCTCCCCCATATCCTGTTCTCATAGCATTTATGGCGCAGTCTCCCACCCTCCTTCATTCTGCACGCCTGACTGCCGTCTGCTTAGGAAACTGCTGAAAGCCAGTTGTGTGTCAGATAGTGTCTGTGCCACCTTCAGAGCCCTTTCGTGATCATGTTGTATCAGCTTTTTTTATGTTTTATATGTGGGGCCTTCGGCGACCTGGGGACATTGGGTCAACCAGGGCAGGCAACCTTGTTTCCAAGTGGCAGATGCCGGGGGGGTCCAGTCTCCAGAAAGGGGTTTTCCCTGGGACCACTGGCACCTGTTACTTGTAGTCTTTTCAGCCTTGGTCATGCACCTGGGACATCATCCTCATATACCTGAAAGCAGAGTGGTTGTTTGTGTGTTTTGTTTTTGAGACGGAGTCTTGCTCTGTCACCTAGCCTGGAGTGCAGTAGTGCGATCTAGGCTCCTTGCAACCTCTGCCTCCTGGGTTCAAGCCATTCTTGTGCCTCAGCCTCCTGAGGAGCTGAGATTACAGGTATGTGCCACCATGCGAGGCTAAGTTTTGTAATTTTAATAAAGACAGGTCACCATGTTGTCCAGGCTGGCCTCAAACTCCTGACCTCAGGTGATCTGCCCGCCTTGGCCTCCCAAAGTGCTGGCGTGAGCCACCACACCCGGCCAGAAAGCAGAGGTATTGTTAGAATGGCAGCAAACAGAAAACTTGTGAAGGACTTCAGTAAAAACATAAGAAACTTGGAAACTTCCTTCCTTCCCTCCCTTCCTTCCTTCTTTTTTGACAGAGTCTTGCTCTGTTGCCCAGACTGGAGTGCAGTGGAGTGATCTCAACTCACTGCAACCTCTACCTCCTGAGTTCGCCATGTTGTCTAGGTCGTTTCAAACTCCTGATCTCAGGTAGCTACCACCTCGGCCTCCCAATGTGCTGGGATTACAGCATGAGCCACCGCGCCCAGCCCAGACACTTGGTTTATTTCTGATGGGTGTGAGAACACACACAGGCTGACCCGTGGCCATGCGGTGATCTGTGCTTTCGGTCAGGCTGCTCCTTCCTGGCAGCGGGATCTGGGCGCCTCCTCATTTCCTAGGAGGGGCTGAAACCCAAGGCACCTGCGGGTGCCTGGAACATGCTGCCATCATGCAGCAGCGGTGTCCTGCAAGTGCCTGCAGAGGCCAAGGCTAGTCTTCTCCCCTCCAGGCCAGGAAGACCAGAGACTGGTGTGTTCCTGTTTAGAAACTGACAACAAAGCAGGGCACGGTCTGAAATAACTGTATGTTCTCTTCCTAAGAAAAATAGTCTGTGACTCTTAAACAGACACAAGACATTCCCTTTTTCCAGTGAAGAGCTGCCGGTCTTTGGTGACTCAGGCACAGTGGTAGGACCCCCATTGTGAGGTGTTGGCCCGTGGGCCTCCGTGAGCCCAGGCGCCAGGCATGTGTGTTGGGGGACCCTCAACTCCATGAGAAACTTCTCCTCAAGTGCCCTGATTCGACAGTGACATTTTCAGATGTAAGAAACAGTTGTCAACCGGGCGCGGTGGCTCACGCCTGTAATCCCAGCACTTTGGGAGGCGGAGGCGGGCGGATCACGAGGTCAGGAGATTGAGACCATCCTGACTAACACGGTGAAACCCTGTCTCTACTGAAAATACAAAAAATTAGCTGGGCATGGTGGCAGGTGCTTGTAGTCCCAGCTACTCGGGAGACTAAGGCAGAAGAATGGCGTGAACCCGGGAGGCGGAGCTTGCAGTGAGCCAAGATCAAGCCACTGCACTCCAGCCTGGGGACAGAGTGAGACTCTGTCTCAAAAAAAAAAAAAGAAAAAGAAAAAAAAGAAACAGTTGTCTTCTCGCTTTGCCTCGGTTGGTTTTGTATTCAGAATTAAAATCTTGGGGCACCCAGAACGCTGGGTTTGAGATGTCCCTGGAAGTCTCTGGTCTGCCCCACTGCTGGGGCAGAGCCTGCAGGCCAGAGTTTGTCAGACGATTTGACCAAGGTGGGGTTCAAGTTCCAGCAGTGGTGTGTGGGCATGGGGACTCTGGCTGCCTGTGGTGGGGTCTGTGCAGCTTGAAGGGTGATTTTGGAAGCAGGCAGCAGTTGCAGCAGCTTCAGCCAGCGTGGAAATGTGGTTTTGAGGCCCCGGTCTCCCGTCGCCGTCTGGAAGGGGCTCTGGAGGGTGGTCCTGCACAAGGCCTCGTCTGTGGTGGCCAGTGCGGTCTGTTGGAGACCCTGCATGAGGACGGTGACCTGTGGGAGCTGCTCAGGCAGACGTCAGGATGTTTCCTGTTCGTGGAGCACGTGTCTTCTTTCTGTTGGACAAGCGATGGCATTTTCCTCAGCACCACACAGACTTGGGCACCGCCTGCTCTTGTTCTTGGCTCTGTTTTGGAGTCTTTGAGAGATATCTTTGGAAAAGATACGGGGTGCCTAGGCGAGCGTCCCTTCTTGGTGAGAACAGCCATAGCCCTGTTGGAGGACGGCCCGGCTGGGCTCAGGGACACACCTCGTGTCATGCTCGGACGTGACCTGACAGAGCGGTTTTTCCTTCTAGTCTGGTAGGACGGCCCTTCAGATCGGGGACAGCCTGAACACCGAAAAAGCCACACTGATTGTCGTCCACACAGATGGGAGCATCGTGGAGACCACCGGGCTGAAGGGCCCAGCAGCTCCCCTCACCCCAGGTACAGCAGTGCCTGCTCCCCAGGCCTGGGCAAAACACGTTTCAGAATAGCTAGAATTTATTTCGGGAATTTATTTACTTCTTTTTGTGGTAAATTTGGAATATCAACTATTAATGGATTTTAAGTAGAAGCCGTGGAATTTTCCTGGCGGAGAAGAGTTTTCCCGCCGTTGAAGGAGGTGGTGCTGCTGGGGAGGTGGGTGCCTGTGAGGGGAGTGCATGCTGTATGTACTTCCTGGCGTCCAGCCTCTCACCTTCACACACTTTCTCTGCCCAAGGTCCTCAGTCTCCTCCAACCCCTCTGGCTCCCGGCCAAGAAAAAGGTGGAACTAAATACAACTGGGACCCCTCTGTGTATGACAGTGAGCTGCCCGTGCGGTGCCGGAACATCAGCGGCACTCTGTACAAGAACAGGCTTGGCTCAGGTGAGGGCTGCCGCTTCAGACTCCAAAGTTGTATTTCCCTTTGTAGCCCCACTAGGATAAATTGGGGGCTGAGAAAGATAAAAATCGTGGCACCTAGAACTAGTTAGGAAGACAGGGCCGGACACGGTGGCTCACACCTGTAATCCCAGCACTTTGGGAAGCTGAGGCAGGCAGATCAAGGGCTCAGGAGATTGAGACCGTCCTGGCTAACACGGTGAAACCCTGTCTCTACTAAAAATACAAAAAATTAGCTGGGCGAGGTGGCGGGCGCCTGTAGTCCCAGCTACTCAGGAGGCTGAGGCAGGAGAATGGCGTGAACCCGGGAGGCGGAGCTTGCAGTGAGCGGAGATCGCGCCACAGCACTCCAGCCTGGGCGACGGAGCGAGCCTGTGTCTCAAAAAACAAAACAAAAAAACAACAAAGAAGACAGAAGGTGCAAGTGACACCCAGTTCCTGTGAACTAGAGCTGAGGCCTGGGAGAGGCACTGGGCAGGGCTGGGCCTGGGAACCATTTAGGGGTGAAAAACCATCGTGACCCACGGGATAGGAGACAAGCAAGAAGAAGTGGGAGGGAGGCAGGGCTGGGACATGTTCCTCAAGTTGCCAGGTCAGCTTGGGACTTGTAGACAAAGGCTCTGGAAGTGGGTACTAGAGGTGCTCAGTGTGGGACCTGGTCGAGCTTGCAGTGCCTGCGGACAGTGGATGGAGAGATCACGTAGGGGATCAGAGGCACAGGCTGCAAAGGCAGACCCGTGGTGGCCCTGTCAGGGCCAAGTACACGGGTGGGTGAGATCACACAAGCTGCTGGGGTACTGGTGCTCGTGGAATGGCGGAGGAGGTCCCAGGAGGGAGGCGATGGCAGAGGCGACATTCCTACCTGCTGTCATCGTGACTGCTGCTCTTCCTTGCAGGTGGCCGGGGACGGTGCATCAAGCAGGGGGAGAACTGGTACAGTCCCACCGAGTTTGAGGCCATGGCAGGAAGAGCCAGCAGTAAGGACTGGAAAAGAAGCATTCGCTACGCAGGCCGACCCCTGCAGTGCCTCATCCAGGTATCGTTTGTGCGTCCTCACCTGTGCTCAACACACAACTTGGATGCGGGGCCTCCGAGGTGGCCCAGCCAGAGGGCGGGCACAGACCACGGGGTCAGACACACGGGGTTTGCAGCCTCCACCTCGTGTCTGTGTGGCCTTGGATGAGTGACTGACCCTCTCGTATTTCAGTTTCCGGATTTTTCACATGGGGATGATGATGATCGTGACCCTGTGAGGATTGTTGGGAGAAGTGCATGAGGTCACAGCGCCTGGCACAGAGCAGTTGTAGAAAGGGGGTGTGTCAAATACACAAAAAATGAAAACAGTGGAAGTTAAGATAATCGTTCCTGTTTGAATGCGTGTGACCCTTTCAAAGTCGCCTAACTTCTCTTCTGTCTGCTAAAAAGGAGGACTTCTGATTCCTATTCCAGTTTAGCTCCTGTGTGTTGTTAAGGAAGCAATTCCTCTAGAGCCTTTTGCAAATCTTGAAAGGAAAGAGATGGGTTCTGCCACCAATAATGGCACTGTGAAGAGGAGAAGTCTCTGGAAATTACTGGTGGTCATCTGCTTCTTTTTTGGAGACAGAGTCTCACCTTGTTGTCCAGACTGGAGTGCAGTGGTTTGATCTTGGCTCACCACAACCTCCACCTCCCAGGCTCAGAGGATTGTCCTGCCTCAGCCTCCCAGGTAGTTAGGATTACAGGCGCCCGTCACCACACCTGGCTTTTTTTTTTTTTTTTTTTTAGTAGAGATGGGGTTTCACCCTGTTGGCCAGGCTGGTCTTGAACTCCCGACCTCAAGTGAGACATCCACCTCAGCCTCTCAAAGTGCTGGGATTACAGGCGTGAGCCACAGTACCTGGCCTAATTTTTAATGGAGATTGGGTTTCACCAGGCTGGCCAGGCTAGTCTCGAACTCCCCACCTCAAGTGAGCCGCCCGCCTCGGCCTCTCAAAGTGCTGGGATTACAGGCATGAACCACCATGCCTGGCCCTCATTTCTCAGAATTTTTGTCTTTATGAGGTTGGACACGGTGGCTTACTCCTGTAATCCCAGCACTTCAGGAGGCCGAGGTGGACTGATTGCTTGAGGCCAGGAGTTCGAGACCAGCCTGGCCAACATGGCAAAACCCCGTCTCTACTAAAAATACAAAAATTAGCTGGGTGTCGTGGCACAAGCCTATAATCCCAGCTTCTTGGGAGGCTAAGGCACGAGAATCGCTTGCGCCGGGGAGGCAGAGGTTGCAGTAAGCCGAGAACGTGCCACTGCACTCTAGCCTGGGCAACCCAACAAGACTCTGTCTCAAAAAAAAAAAAAAAAAAGAGTTTTTGTATTTATGAATGGCAGGTAAATGGTAGAAGTGGTTGAAATCTTCTGTTATTGAATGATTCACATTTAGGGGCTGACTTTCTAATGCGTGGTGCTTCTTTTTGCATTTCAGGACGGGATCTTAAACCCTCACGCTGCCTCTTGCACCTGTGCTGCCTGCTGCGACGACATGACCTTAGTAAGTTGCCAGCATGTCTGGAGCAGGAGCACTTGGTGGAGCTGGGGGTGGCTGAGTGGGTCCCACAGCCCTTGGTCCCTTGGCTGTTTCCCTCTTGCCCTCTGCCTTGGAGAGGGATACTGTCCTTGCTTCTCCTCTGCTGCTCTATCCCCTGCTCCCTGATACACCACAGTGAAACCTGATGTCTCAATGCGTGGGCACGTGGTTGGCCACCAAGATGTTGCTCAAAGAACATTTATGGAAACCTTAAGAAATGAAAAGTGGTTATAATGTCACCGCCTTAACTCTAAAACTAAACATACACACTTTTCCTTGTATGTGTGCTGTTAGATATTCTGCGTTTTATAACGTGTCAGAAAAATGCTACTGTAAACTTATTCATGAATAGAGCTTTTAATATCTTTTTGACGTATTTCCTTATTCTGAATTCTTAACTATTTGACAAAGACCCAAAATAATTTTCTTTTTCTTTTTTTTTTTGAGACGGTGTCTCACTCTGTCACCCAGGGTGGAGTGCAGCGGCGCGATCTCGGCTCACTGCAACCTCCGCCTCTGGATTCAAGCAATTCTCCTGCGTCAGCCTCCCGAGTAGCTGGGATTACAGGTGTGAGCCACCACGCCCAGCTAATTTTTGTATTATTAGTAGAGATGGGGTTTTGCCATGTTGGTCAGGCTGGTCTCAAACTCCTGACCACCAGTGATCTGCCCGCCTCGCCCTCCGAAAGTGTTGAGATTACAGGCGTGAGCTACTGCACCTCAGAAAAAAAAAACAAAAAACATGGAGAGACCTACCATGTTCTTGGGGTGAAACAGTAAACATCCTAGAATTGTCTAGTTTATATATAGATTTCATGTGATTCTAGTGGAAAAAACAATTTTGTGAATGTAAAATAATTTTGAAGTTGATTTGGAAAAGCCAATAGGTGAGACTCTTAGAGATGCTGGAGGAGTAAAGGAGCCGGGAGGAGGCGTCGGTCCCCTTTGGGCTGTGAGGAGGCGTCGGTCCCATTGGCAGTCGAGCCTGCGGGTAGATCATTTGCAGGGGCTCCAACACTGAAGTACTTCAATGTCAGTCTAGGAAATCATGAACAGGGTCTGTATGTGGAAGGTACTGAAAAAAGTGCTAAAGAAAGAGACCAGAGAAGATTGAAATACATCAACAGACATCCTATGTCCGTGGATTAGAAGACTCAATATAGTAAAGATGTGACTTTTTCCCAAGTTGATTCATAGGTTTAACACGATTACTATCAAAATCCCAGCAGGATTCTTTTTAGATGCAGACAAACTGATTCTAAAATTTATATAGAAAGGTAAAGGAAATTTAAAAAGCCAAAACAGTTTTGAAATAAACATTTAAATGGTTGGAATCACATTGCGGGGTCTTAAGACTTACTAGCTCGTGACAGTAATCAGGACAGTGTGGCATTGGCAGAAGAGACCCCCAAAATCTGGGTCAGGCTAGAGTGTCGTAGACTCCAGCAAATGGCCTTGGAGCGACTGGACGTTCATCGGCAGAGACAAAGGATGACCTAAACTTCACACTTGGTACAAAAATGAATTCAAAATGGGTCACAGATCTAAAGTAAAAGGTAAAACTATAACATTTTTAGGAGAAAACACATTGGAAAATCTTCCTGACCTAGAGTTAGAACTAGGATTTCTTAGATTGGACTTTATCACATTTTAAAACTTTTGGCTTCCACTTGGGGAATGGTGGTGTGATAAGCTCAGTGGACCAACTCTCCACAGAAATAACTAGTGAAAACTGTGAAAAAATAACCCCTTAAGGTCTCCGGAAATTGTCCTAGGTGCATATAGCAAATAAAGAAACATCCAGGAAAATGTACTGAGTCTTGGAAAGAGCAGTGAGGATTGTGACATTTAAGCTAGGACCAGCTCCTTCCCTCCCTTTCTGCCCCCAGCTCCCTATGGAGGAGGCTCCATTCTGGGTGGTTGTGACCGAGAAAACAGGGTTCCCGCTCCTCACAGCTCCCGGTCAAGGGATGTGGTATCTCACTGGGAGGGGCAGGCCACTAGCAGTTCTCAACCCCTTCAGCTCCAATTTGCAGTAAATTCCTGGGAAGTGTGACTGAAAATCTCTTCAGTCAGCCCCACTCAGAGGGCAGAGGCGTTACTCAGAGGTGGGAGGCCAAGCATAGGGAGGCCCCAATTTCCCTCAACCCAGGTTGCCCATGGGGTGGAGCGTCCATGCGGTGAGAGGCTGCCGCCCCCCCTCACAGAGCCCGGCTGATGCAACAGAGTCCCTCCGATGGACCCAGGCGCTGTTCCCACCTCCAGGTCTGGAGTAGGGGCTCCGACATTCAGCCCCAAAGAGAGAGAGGCTGTAAGAACACAGAGTTCCAAAGCCCTTCCCAAAGGAACTGTCTTGATTTGAAACAGGAAGGGGATGTTCAAAACAATGGACATTTTGGTGGTCAGCAGTTAAGAGGAGGCCAGCAGTTCCATTAGAGCAAGAAACTAAACTAGGTCAGCAGGTTTACCAGAGAGGCGAGGAAAGCCACAGCTAAGAACCCACTGGGGAAACAAGCCCTCAAGTTCTAACCTCTTGGTAAAGAAGCCCTAATTTAATCGGCTCAGACAGTGGAGCAGTGTGTGCCCCAGGGCATTGTTGGAAGTAATGGAGCAGGCAGCTGGCGGTTAGTTGATTCTGACACTTGACTCAACCAACAGCTTAACAGAGATCAGGGAGAGAGACAGCCAAAATCCCCACCACCAAAGGTGACTGCACCCCCAGGGCTGAGCCCTCAGAGGAGCAGCAGCCGAGGCCGCCCCAGGAGAACAGTTTCAGTTAAAGGGTCCAGCCCCATCCCTGAATAATAAACAAGCAGACAGCAGCCAGGAGCTGGGGGAAAGGAGAACAGCTTTCCACTGTTGCTACAGTGTATCACCTGTGTTGTCTGATTCTTAACAAAAGAGTCTAAGACATGCAGAGAGCCATGAACCATACACAGGAGGAGAGCAACAGAAATTGCCTGGAGAGGCCGGGATATTGGGTTTAACAGGCAAAAGCTTTAAAACAGCCATCCTCAGTATGTTCAGAGGACTAAAGAAAACCACAGCTAGCGACTGCATGGAAGGTCTGAAGACACTGTCTCCTCACTGGGGAATGTCAATGAAGAGATAGAGATTATTAAAAAAACAAAAACAAAAAAAAAGTCGGGCGCAGTGGCTCTCATGCCTGTAATCCCAGCACTTTGGGAGGCCGAGGCGGGTGGATCACGAGGTCAGGAGATTGAGACCATCCTGTCTAACATGTTGAAACCCTGTCTCTACTAAAAATGCAAAAAATTATCCGGGCGTGGTAGCGGCACCTGTAGTCCCAGCTACTTGGGAGGCTGAGGCAGGAGAATGGCGTGAACCCGGGAGGTGGAGCTTGCAGTGAGCCTAGATTGCGCCACTGCACTCCAGCCTGGGCAACAGAGCGAGATTCCGTCTTTAAAAAAAAAAAAAGTCAAATGGAAATTGTAGAATTGGAAAGAAGAATAACTAAATAAAAAATTCACTAGAGTCTCAACAGGTTTGAACTGACAGAAGAGACGTTCTGAGCATGTGTCCGGCAGCCTTGTGTGGTGCTGGGCTTGTGAGGGTCTCAGGTCGGAGGCGGGAGTGTCCCAGGCCCAGCTCCGTGAGGGTTTGGCCTCTTTCATGGGAGATCTTTGGTGACTTTTACCGTTTTCTTTAATTGATCCCATGCCGCCTCCTGTCTGGTGCGGTGCTGCTGAAGCTGTGCCCTTGTGCTGCCAACTTTCTCCTCTGTGGCTTCTTCTCATTCCTCCCTTGCTTGGCCCTGGCCCCCATCTATTTTCTGTCTTTTAGGAATTCCTGACCCTTTTTTTTTTTTTTTTTTTGAGACGGATTCTCGCTCTGTTGCCCAGGCTGGAGTGTGGTGGCACGATCTCTGCTCACTGCAAGCCCTGCCTCCTAGGCATGCCCTTCTCCTGCCTCAGCCTCCTGAGTAGCTGGGACTACAGGCGCCCACCACCATGCCTGGCTCATTTTTTGTATTTTTGGTAGAGACAGGGTTTCACCATGTTAGCCAGGATGGTCTCGATCTCCTGACCTCATGATCTGCCTGCCTCAGCCTCCCAAAGTGCTGGGATTACAGGCATGAGCCGCTATGCCCGGCCCTGAATTTCTGACCTTTAATCTGTAGACGACACTTTGTTATTTTGCTGCACTGGTATTCATATGTTCTTTTTTAAAGTATTCTTTCTGTCATGTTAAGGGATTTGGGGCCTAAAGAGGTGGGATTTTGGCCGGGCGCGGTGGCTCACACCTGTAATCCCAGCACTTTGAGAGGCTGAGGCTGGCGGAGCACCTGAGGTCGGGAGTTTGAGATCAGCCTGACCAACATGGAGAAACCCCGTCTCTACTAAGAATACAAAAATTAGCCAGGTGTGGTGGTGTGTGCCTGTAATCCTAGCTACTCAGGAGGCTGAGGTAGGAGAATCACTTGAACCTTGGAGGCAGAAGTTGCAGTGAGTGGAGATCGTGCCACTGCACTCCAGCCTGGGCAACAGAGTGAGACTCTGTCTCAAAAAAAAAAAAAAAAAAGAAAATTACCTGGGTGTGGTGGCACATGCCTGTCATACCAGCTACTCAGGAGGCTGAGGCAGGAGAATCACTTGAACCCAGCAGGCGGAGGTTGCAGTGAGCCGAGATCGCGCCACTGCACTCCAGCGTGGGCAACTAGAGTGAAACTCCGTCTAAAAAAAAAAAGAGGTGGGATTTTTAGGGGCGCTTACCATTCTTAATGTGGTCTCGCCATGTGACTCACATACCCCACGGTGCCCCCACGTAAGGAGGAGCTGCAAGCGCAGCATAGCTTTTGCACACACCAACGCGGTGGCCTGTCTCCTTTCTCCCCCAGAGTGGCCCAGTCAGGCTTTTTGTGCCTTACAAAAGGCGCAAGAAGGAGAATGAACTGCCCACAACTCCCGTGAAGAAGGACTCCCCCAAGAACATCACGTTGCTTCCAGCCACCGCGGCCACCACCTGTGAGTTTGAGAAAACATAGCTCTAGTTTACTGAGGGGACCTAAGTGCATTGCCTTCTCTCGTCACCACTCCCACGGCCACTGTGGGATTCTCATTTCTAAAGCACATTGCGTGGCTGGAGGGATGTCAATGCCCTCATGCTCCTTTGCAGTGTGGCCCCCAGGTGGGAAAGGCTGTCGCAGTGCCCAGCTCTGTCTTGCTTCCCTGGGATCTGGGTGCTGTTGGCCTCGTCCTGGGCTGTTTCCCAGTGTCAGTGAGCAGAGCCGAGTGCCCAGCACACGCTTGAGGGACGTTTCCTGACAAGGGTGTCCTTGGTGAGGGATTCTCAGTGCGCTGGATGAGGGCTGCACAGAACTCTGTGGGTCTTTCTCTGTGGCCGGGCTGGAGGGCAGCGTCAGGATCCAGGCTCACTGCAGCCTTGACCTCTTAGTCTCAGGCATTCCTCCCACTTCAGACTCCCAAGTAGCTGGATCCACAGGCACGTGCCACCATGCCCAGCTAATGTTTTTATTTTATTGTACAGACAGGATTTAAATGGGGAGAGGTAGCAATAGGAGAAAATGTCTTTGTAACAGGCTTTTGTTAACTAATGTAAGTCTGGGTTTTAGCTTTTATAGAGCAAGGTCTTTCTAAAACACCCTGTCGGCTCCTTCTCGAGGCCCTGGGTGGTGGGTGCGGGAAGAGTCCCACAGCAGCAGAGTCTTAAGATCTGTCGCCAGGATTTTTTTTTTGAGCTGGAGAGGCAGCCTTGCTGTGGGACATGGCTGCTTTTTACCTTCAGCTTGGATTAAAGACTTTTTCTTAATTTGAGCCACAAAGTATTTAAAAGTCATTGGAAGTTTTATTTTACGTTTGTTTTCTGGCTGGGCAGCACGTTTCCATGCTGGGGAGCACAGTTTAAACAGTGAACAATTGGTGGTGGCAAGTTGCCATCCTGGTTTTCTCCTCTGAGGTCTTCTCCAAGGTCTGGGATTTCCCGTGTGTCCTTCACATGGGAGGGTACGGTTACCACTGCCTGCACTTTAGCCCAGGCCCCCTCAAGAATTGGTGCCCACGGGTGGCACAGGACCTGTGTGCCGTGGGTGCCACTGCCTGGCCGCGTGAAATGTGCTTCTGCCTTTCCAGTCACCGTGACCCCTTCAGGACAGATCACGACCTCGGGGGCACTGACCTTTGACCGGGCATCCACAGTAGAGGCCACTGCTGTCATATCCGAGAGTCCGGCCCAGGGTGACGTCTTCGCAGGAGCCACAGGTGAGCTGCTCCAGTGCCCGCCTGACATGTCCTCGGCATATCCTTGACCATGACATCACATCCCCAGTGCCATATTGGGCTTCGTAGGCTGCTGGGTACCTCGAGAGGGAACTTGAACCAGGCGTTTGTTGGTGGGGACAGCGTGTGAGCCACGTCAGTTGGGCGGTGCAGTGTGGGTGGGGTTGGCGTGGCAGTGGGTTACTTGTGACAGACGCCAGGGCCGGCAAAGCTGAAAATACTCTGTCTGTCGGCTCCTGCTTCTGACTACAGTTGTGCAACAGAAGTGCGGCCTAGCCGGATGTGTGCTGGAGAATATTCTAGTAGCCACACTGAGGAAAATAAAGGAAAGAGCTACAACTGATTTTTATAATCTATTTTATTTTAGCTGATATAGCCCCAATCCTATGTCAACAATTCAGGCTTGCCCCTTTCAGGGACTCAGTAGCCGCGTGTGGCCATAAGCTACTATGTGTGCTGAATGGCAGGGACTCAGTATCCGCGTGTGGCCATAAGCTACTATGTGTACTGAATGGCACAGCCTTACAGTGTGATATTTAGGGCCTGCTGTGCGGGCAGTCGTCCCGAGGTTCCCTGTCCCTTCTTTCGCCAACAGTCCAAGAGGCCAGCGTGCAGCCCCCATGCAGGGCCAGCCACCCTGAGCCTCACTACCCCGGCTATCAGGACAGCTGCCAGATCGCCCCGTTTCCAGAAGCTGCGTTGCCAACGTCACATCCCAAAATAGGTAGGTTTGAAAGAATTCACACGTGTACAGGTAATTTTCCTCAGAACTGCTTCCTGTGAAAGAATTTCTAGGTGAAATCGGATTCGTTTTGGTTTGTTTTGTTGTTGTTATTGATGCAGTAGATCAGTGGCTGGCAAAGTGTGGCCCACTGTCTATGTTTGTAAATAAAGTTTTATTGACACACAACCACATCCATTCATGTGTGTGCTGTGGAAGCTGCTTTTGGTACAACAGCAGGGCACACCCTTAGAAACCAATTGGCCTATGGAGCTGAAGTTCTTTCTGGTGAGTTTGCTGTTATCCTCTTGAAGGTAGACACTCCTCAGTGGCAGGTCTTGGTCTCCCCAGAGCTGGCATGGGCATTCGGTATCTGGTGAAAGAAAGAACAACCAAGATTGATATCACATGTGGCCTAAATCTTTAAAACGATGATACACTGTAAACGCATTCTAACTTTGATTTTTCATTTAACTGCACTTTTTTTTTGAGATGGAGTCTCGCTCTATTGCCCAGGCTGGGGTGCAGTGGTGCAATCTTGGCTCACTGCAACCTCTCGCTTCTATGACTGGTCCGTCTGAACTCCTTGACTCGAAGCTGATCCATCCTGCCCTCATACCACTTCCCAAATAGTGCCTGGAATTCACAGGTGTGAGCCACCACAATGCCAGCAAGATTTTGTATACCCATATAACTTTCTTTTCCTTTTTTGAGACATCGCGCAGTTCTCTTCCCACTTCCGGTCGCCCAGGCTGAGTGCAGTTGGCATGATCTCGGCTCACTGCAACTTTCGCCCTGCCAGGTTCAAAGCAATCCTCCTGCCTTATACAGCCTCTCCGAGTAAGCTGGGACTACAGGCGTTGCGC